GTATCTCCTACCTCAAGGATCTTCAATAAGGAAGAGAAAATGATCAATGATACTATTCGCCGATTCTTGGTGGGATCGTTGCCCCCGACGCTCTAGTAGTTCTAACACGATTAAAGTGACTAGCCTGTTGAAAACACGATTTTACAAAATATTTACAAAAATAAAACAAAAATCTCTTTTGCATGTTAAAAAGAACTTAAACAACAGCTTTTGCATGAAAATTAAAGAATTTTTCTATGAAAATTTATAAAGATCTACGGCTAGTCACTTGGATTGAGATTAAGGACTGTCATCCGTAGATTGTCGAGATTGTAACTCTTGTTCAAAGTTGGGAAGCACACAGTCTAGCTTTGAGCACCCACTTCTACCAATTTCTTACACAGTCTTAATTTTTCATATGTGGCTAAGAATTTCTTTTGCTTGTGATTTCTACGACTCGTTTTTCTGACTTTCGGGCTGGGTTTTCTCGTCTTGTTTATTTTTCTTGCAAGTTTAGTTAAAACTGTTGCAAATCATACTATGTTTGCAATGTTAGTCACGCAACAGTAACAGATGTTCAGGTACGTTTTTACAGTTTATCTACGGCATTTTTTTACTTTACTGCATTTTACTTTTAAATACCTTTTATTTACCTGCAATTTGATTATTCTACATGCAAAACCAAAACTGAAACCAAAATTGAAACAAAACAAAACCAAACCTTGTCACCAAAACTGGGAAACATAAATCACCAATCTCAAACACTTAAACCCTGGAGTCATCGCTACAATAGAAAGTTCAGAACTAAATTTGTGGGCAACACGACGAGGAATTCGGACTGAGCAACAAGAAGATCTTCAGCATTATCTCTTCCTAGCATCAATAATAATGCATAGGACTTCAAGGTAGCTTGTCCAACGCGACGTAAATCCCACACCCTCTTTAGGCTCCTGCACAACCATGTTGTGCAATGTTAAGTTCTAATTCGTCTTAGATTCCGAGGTTGTCGTGTGGCACGACGTAAACCCTCATCTCTTTGCGGGTTATTTGCATAATCAGATATTATGCAAATGTAAGTCTCAAATAATAAAATTTACAGGATTAAACACTTAAATAACATCAACTCCTAAACACAACCACATATTAGGATAGTTTGGGAAGTCACTGAGGTTTCTCCTCAGGATCTGTGACATCTCCTACAATTTACTTCTTTTGGACTCCTGAAAGATCTATTTCTACTTGAGTCACTCCCACTTGTTTTTTCATGTTTAATCGTGAAACCTAAACCTTAAATTCTTAAAGACTAGTACCTCTGATCACTATTGAGAGTTTTCTCAAGCGACCCCGTCATTTGAGATGTAATTAACTATAAGGGTTTGTCTCTATAGGAAATTTGAAACCCAGGTAAAATTAACTTTATTTAATATTTATATTAAATATAGGAACTTGTCAGTCAAAAATAAAAAAGTATCGCAGGCCAAACGGATATCATAAATATCTTAGTTTGTAGGATTGGGTCTACCGCTGAGATATACACTCACCTTTCGGTTATGTGTAGTATTCACGGTATCGGGCACGATTAAGCAAACTATTGGACAAATGAGATCCATTTGGTCTCATTTTTCAAAAATTAAAACACGCTACTTTCAAAACCAAAAAAATATACCTCTTATATTTAAATTAAATTTTAAAATAAAAAAGTTGACCGACAACCAAGAGGGGTATAAATACCATTACATGACTTGCTGGTAAAAAAAAGCAATGAAAACAGAATACAGTATGTAAGGAAACAAATAATAATAAATATAATAGGCAGCTAATCTCTCTAATTAAGGAGACAAATTAAATAGAGATTCTTAAGATCCCTCATAAAATTTATAACCCTCTAAATATAGAGTTATAATAAATATGGAATATAATCATCATTATTTGCGAGATCTTTCAATATATACAATAGTTGTTACTCATGGGGTTGGTCACTTTTTGTTTTCATTTGGATTCCTGCAACAAAGAGGTATGAAGTCCAAAAAATAATCCCCCAATTATTTGCATATGGACAATTTAGCCTTAGAACAGTACATTTCTAAAATTTAACCACGCTACAAAATTTATCCGAGATCACAACTCTTGTAGAAATTGAGATAAAAAAATTGAATCTAATTTAATCAGATCGACCATATGAAATTAATTCCAATGGACTCCCCAAGGGTCTAGTTAGAAATAATTTTATATAGCAAGAGACTGAATTAGAGAAATGAAATATTTCATGATGAATTAGCTACATATAAATAGTTGGGGAACATTTTAGAATTTAACCTTTTTAATTAAATTTTAAATTAAAAAGGGCATACCAAGTGTAAGCAGCTCCCACTGTTACAAAGAGGTTTTAGGGTTATAAATTTTGGACCTTTAGAATAAGCCATAGATAACATAGTGCTATTGCTTCAGACCTGCCATCTATATTTGCAAAGATATTTGCATGACAATAATATAGGGCCTCTAAAATACACTAAAGGCAACATAACAATTGCTTCAGGCCCACCATTTATATTTGAAAAAAGAAAAAAATAACAATAGTGTGTTGGCTCATCGAGCAAACAATCATGGTAAGACAGAAAAAGTTCATACACTTAAAGTTTAAACCCCCGTCAACTTTGTGGGTGAGCATTTTTTTAAGCAAAAATTATTACTAGTTTATAAAACGAGTACAAGAAGAATTAATTGCAAAAAAATTGCTAGATTAAAAGATGATAACATGATACATAATTAAAAATAACATGAAGAACAGATTAAACTCCCTTGACTAGAACTCCAAAAATAATGATTCAAAGCAGTGACAGACCTTTATTTTTTTCATTCTGACTCCTAGAAAGCGTAATCGGAAACCTACAACCTATTAAAACTTAGGTACTTACTAACATTAGAAACATAACAATAATCAATTTGTGAACCTAGCATCTTCAACAATAGGATGACGTGAGAATCTAACAAATTAGAAGGATATGGGACCTTGCAAGCAAATGTGGTCCCCAACACATTCATTGGGTTACGAAAAGCAAGGACAGGTAAGAGGAACAACAATCACAATGTTTGAAGAAAGCTTATCATCATTTGTATGCTCCCCTTGAACCTAACAGTAATGTAATTTCAGCTCCAGATGAGCTTTGAAACATTAATAGTAATTGTGACAAAAGATTATATAAGAGAAATAAATACCCTTCTGCTAATATCCATATGAGGAGGAACAAAACCAAACCTCTCTTTTCAAACAAGAAACAACATTCATTTCAACTGAAAACCCTAGCCACGGACTCCGAACAAGTTGTGCAAATTCCGCATCCACATAGAAATATTACTAAGACTTTAAGATAGATCGGTTAAAATAGTGAACACATAAGTGAGGAAACACTCACAATCACATCAATGTGACATGTGATTCCTCAAAAATTGAGGAGGGACAACTTCAACATTCAAATTGACTAGCCATCAACACAATAATTTTGCCACGAAAAAAGTTTGAAGTAGTCTGCTCATAGAAATAATCTATAAAGAATGCAATGTGGATCAGGATGCCCAACTAAGAAGTCGTACATTAAAAGCAATTCCGCCATAAATCTGCATATTATCAGAAAATTGAGATGGCCCGAGAATTAACCTCAATGGAGATAGAAAATGGATTTGTTGGTTCAAAACTCTATGCTTCCAAGAGAATATGGGCAAAGTTTCCATGAAAATTCAAAGGTTTCTTACGCTCAGAGAACAATCTAATCCTTCTTGAAAAAATAATGACAAAATATTAGACTATAAATGATCAAGGAGTGCTAGTACCAAGAGAACCCACAGTCAAATTGAATGCAAAAAAGAGCAAGTGAGAAAGAGAACCCTGAGGAAACAACCGGAAGAGGACAATCACCAACAGCTCCTATTCATTGTTTTTAGGGCAAATGATCTTAGGACTGTAGAAGTGTATCCACCGAAAAAGGAGCTCTAATCGATAAGTAACCAAAGGTGGGAGTACAAATGACAAAGTCCCACATGAAAGGTGTCAAGTGATGGAGGAAGATATAGAGAGGAGAAGATCCATTAAATTCAGGAAACCACCCAAAAGCTTGATGAGCTCAATTCAACTGAAAAGCTTGACCTATTTAGCTAATGAGTTCAGCACAGTTACTTCTTCAATCTATACTGAATCAACTCAAACTTAAGCCAGCTCAACCCTGACTTTTTTCAAGTGAAATGCATTTTAAAATTATTTAAATGCTATGCTTGTAATCCCACATTTTAAAATCCAGAGCATATTCCTATTTCTTATATGCATGGATGTAAATCAATCAAATTATGGCTGATCTTCAATCTCTTCATCTCTCCTCGAACTTGTCTTCCCCATAACACCATAAACTACTCATGTATTTGTCTCCCATTCTCCACAACTGGCTGTCCATTGTCGTCAGCAAAGATATTGGAACCCCCGAACATGCAAATTGGCAGGCATCCATTGCAGCTACTGCCTTCTCCTTTATCTCAAGTCATATAATCATCCATCGGTTCCCTTCTCACAAATTTCATTATCATCTTTACGCATCACAAGCATCCACACTAGCACTATTAGTCTCCTGCACCTGCATCCATTTATCAATACAAAACCATTATTTCTCTCCTCTGTCAGCAATAACGGCCACAGCGCTCTATGGCGGCACCCTTCTCCACCGGTCACTACTCATCCTTTTTTTCTCCTCTCGCCCAACCATCAATGTATAGGTATCACCATCACCAGTGAGCTTAGTCGACATTGTTGGTTCGTTTGTCCTACCTTCTTCCCGGGCATGATAGAGAATAAAGAACAGTTTTTGAATTAAGATGAATTTAAGAAGTGCACTTAATCATCAAGATCAACCCTGACTCGGTCTGAGTTTTGATTGGAGTGTGAATGAAGAAAGACGAGGTTGTTTCAATAAAATGTGCCACAGTCAACATAGAAAAACGGCTAAAAGAACTAAATGTGCCGGCAATCAAAGATAAACCTGATATTGGCGATCCTGGAATACTCGTTCTGTGGTGCTTGTGTTTTCTTCTACTGTTTCCTTCATTTGAATTGCATTTACCTGTTCATAATACATTTTAGATAAACTTTCATCCTTCAAAAAACAAGCCATGATTAAGCAAAAATATAAAAAAATACTTTACCTTTATACGATACAATGGTGCACTAAATTCATCATTGAATACAAATGTGTCATCATCCTCTACTTCTCGTCCTTTTGGGATCTATAGCAAGTCATAAATCATAACACTTTTGGTTGAAAAAATGTCCCTCATTGATGGAATGTGTCGTTGATGACTTGGATGAGAAAATATATTACACGTGAATTACCATACCTTTTGCAGAACACGAACCTTGCCGCATGCAAGCGACTGCAAGGTTCTTCTAAGCTCCTTATCTTCAATAGCAGTAGAATCCTTAATATCTTGAAAGGAGAGCTTTTGAGCATCATTGAACAGCATCAAGACTACGGTCTGAAACATAGATGGAGCCAAGTAAAAAAAAAAAATAGTAAGCATTACATACAGGAAAAAACTGTTGGCAAGGAAAATCTAGACCCACCTGAAACAAGGACACCGCTAGCTCCTTTTTACCCTTAGGAAATTCTGCTTTTAAAACACAATGACCAAGTGAATTTTGCCACATCAGGCGTCTTCCACTATACTTGCTTAGATAGAACTCCTTAAATATATCCTGTTAAAATAAAATCAAAAGCTGACATAATAATAATTAGAGTAATTCTCCTTGAAATGGCATAGTACCAATCACGCCCATATGGAAATGAAACAGTAACAATGATCTGACCTGGTAAACATTTAGTTCATGGGGGAGTCGAACATCCATTGGCGGATAAGTAGGCCAATACCTAAAAAGAAAAAGAAAAGGATAGGAAATAAACATATCCAGGTAGCTAGCTTTCAAAAATAGATGGCAAAGTTTTTCTTTTAACCTTTGATTCTAACAAATCAATATCAGATAATGCTCACCCTGTTGTTAAAACATGAACGCTTAACTCAATACCACTTGGAAGTTTAATTCTGGCTTGGGATGATTGTTTGAAAGAATCATTTATTTCTTTTGATAGTTCAATATCCTGAAAATAGTGAATATTAATTTGTGTCAGTGTCACATAAAAATAAATTTAATATAACTGCAGAGATAACAATTTCAAATTAGACCGTTTCATCAAAAGTCAAAATATTATATGCAAATAACAAAAGCTAGAGCACTATGAAAACATTGAAAAGTCTCATACACCCATTATTTCATCATCATTAGCATTCCAATCATCATTATTAGCCTTATCCCAATATCCCATTAGGCAAACCCTCGTAACAAATTTATCCCAGTATGGTTATTACTGCACATTTCTTCAATAACCAGTGGACATTTCCTTAACCTTTCATATTTCATTCGAGATGCCTCCACCTTACATCACTATGCGCATTTACCAAGTGCTTATCTAATCCTAAAATTTTCTCTAAATACATTTTCCTTAAAACTAATACAGCTTTCTTTTACACTAATTTATATTATACTTTCACAAATCCAATCATTTTATTCTTCAATATAAATATCATTTGTAAAATTAAAGTTTAAAAAATTTTCAAACATTATAATTCTATATTTTCTAAATGCTAGATCATAAATGAGAACTTCTAATCTTTGCAGTTAAAGATAAGGTTGTTAAAATCAGTTTGAATGTTAAACTATAACAAAGAGAAATTCACGTTTTAATAGTTCGATAGAGCTTGAACTAGGACTTTAATCGAATGAAATAATAAGTTTTAAAATTATTTCAATATAATTTTAATAATATAATAATGATACTTTCACCCATAAAATATACAATTTTCAAATTCAAGGCACTTCAAATTTGAATATTTAAAATTAAATTCTAAATTAAACTTGTAAGGCATGATATTATAATTATTTTGACTATTTTTAATCCATACTTTTATTTCTAGCCATCCAATCATAATCAAAAATCGAAAATTTGATTTAAATTTAAACTAGCCGGTTCATCAAAAACCAATATGATTCACATTGTTCAATCCCTGTTGAATAGCATGTTAAAACCTGCCATTCCGGTCCAACATTTAAAACCAAGGTTAAAAACATTAAAATTATTCATAGTTTCATTATCACTTTTACCCTTCCTTAGGACGCTTTATACACTCTATTTCTTCTCCTCTTACTTGTGACCTATCACATAAATTATCTTGATAACAAAACTATTGGCTTCGCTTACCACCCATATATGTAGCACCAACACTTATAAAAATGTGTCGCACAAGTGTCGGACACGTCTCAAACACAGTTCAATTTTATTCTTGCAAATTTGTTGTGTAATATTTTTATTAAGAAAATCTATACTCTATATTAATAATTATTTAAATATAAAAAAGTGTCAAAGAAGTGTCACACTCTATTTTTTTCTATTATGTTGTGTCTTTGTATTGCGTCGTGTCGTGTTTGTATCCTTGTGTTCATGCTTCATAGCCACCCACTTAATATTTCTTTTGACATATTTATATTTATTATGCTCAATAACATATGGAACAGTGTTAGTTTTTTAAGACTACATCATGACAACTTTTGATACTTTTAAAAACAGCAGCAGCAACAAGTCCTTATCCCGCTAAGAGGGGCCAACTACATGAATCTTTTTTCTCTATTGTATCCTATTGAGTGTCATATTTTTATTTGATTCTAATAAATAAAAATCATTTTTTTATACAACATGCCCAAGTATCTTTAGTTCGACCTCTACCTTTCTTAACATGAGACAAATCGAAAACATCTACTCTCCTACCTGGTCATACATTTAATTTGGCCAAACCATCTAAAGGGACTCTATCTAATCTTGCCTGTCACTGGAGCTACTCCAACCATTTCACGGATATATTTGTTTCGCATTTGTCTTTTTAAGTTTAAACCACTTATCCACCTAAGTATTCTCATCTCAACAACACTTAATTTTATGCTTCTCTTTTACAAGCCAACGTTTTATGTTATAAAGCATTGCAACTCTCACTGATATCTTATAAAATTTTCCATTGACTTTTCTATCATATACAGTAGGCTTGATGCATACCTCTACTTCAACAATTCTACTTGAATTCTACTAATAACATATATATCACCATCACCAATAGACCCGAGATATTTAAAACATTCACTCATTTTAATAACTTGCTCACTCATTGTTACAACCCCCGCCACTAGATCTACTACTTACTAAAATTACATTCCATGCATCTTAAATGAAAATCTTTAGACTCTAAAGTTGAACTCCATAATTCAACTTTTTTCTGAACTCTCCCTCTCTAGTCATATCCACGAAAAAGATATCATCAGCGAAAAACATACACCAAGATACATCTTCCTATAAATGTCTAGTAAGAACAACCATAACTAAAGAAAAAAGAAACGAGAGATGAATGCTTAAAGCCGATCCTTGATGTAATCCAACTGAAATAAGACAATACTTGGTCAATCCTCCTTGTGTTTGAACACAAATAATAGCTCTAACATACATGTCTAATAACTTAAATATAAGAAATATCAATACATTTCTTTTCTAGAACTCTCCAAAATACTTTTTTTGAAATCTTATCATAAGCTTTTTCTAGGATATTCTGATACTTTCATAGAACGTAAAAACGTTCACAAAACTTCTCAATCAATTTACATGGTACAATTCAGCATTTCAATCAACATTCAAGGTTAATTGGCAATTTCATCAACATATAATTGATCATAAGCCGTAACAAGACTTTCCCAATTGTGCAAACAATAAATGTTAATTGAACTCTAATCACTCTACCTAATCAAAGTACCAAAACCTCCATATACTTCTACAAACATCGCATCTAAACTCAGCAAATGCTACTGAAAATCTTCTTAACAAAATTCCAATATAATTTCTAGATACTTCTCATTCACTCCCCCTAACCAACAAATCTATACAAATTTTTATGACTAAATTATACAAAACTAAGTTCACCGTAAGTTATAAAATGCATCATAATTTAAAGTTAGTTAGTGGTAGAAGGTTCCATGAAAATAACACAACTAAACTTAGTATGAATGAAGTGTCTCAGGTTAGTTTGAGTGCCGCCTACAAAAGACATGCCTAAACTTAAGTTAATGGTTGGAAAAAGTGTCACCCAAATGTTATGAAATGTGGAGAAGCAAGGTCCATAGAGAAGATTTGCTTTGCTACAATGTATTTTGAATTTATCAGAAACCTGGAGAATTGGCAGGCAATGATTTGGAGAAAATGTTTTGAAATAATGTCGCCCTTAGATGATGGGTGATGCATCACAATTAAACAGAATGCCGTGAGAAGTAAATACATCACATCACCTGCAAATGAAGTACTACAAATTACCCCAATTGTAATGAAAAATAGACAATGCTTTTCTAGGAAGCAAACGAACTTAACCCATTTGTGATGAAATGAGAGAAAAGATCAACTAGGTTTAATATTAGGAATAGACTGGTTACAAGAAGTTTCGTGACATTAAATTGAAAGCTGACAAATAGTAGATGACAAATAAAGGATGAATAAATACAATATTTGCATGAAACTAAATTGGGGAAAAATTTTTCAAATATAAAAGGTTACAAGTAATTCTATGTTAGAGAGATTATCGATTGAATAAATTAAGGATAATAAAGATATTATCAACTAATTTTTTATTATTTCTTGTCCAATTTCTCAGTTATATTAACATTTTATTATGGCAACTTCTCGCATCAAAATTTTCTTCTCTTTCATAACAAATGAGTTGACTTATGAATTGACTAGAACTCATAGAATTAAGCTCAAGCATAACTTCAAACTCAACTAATTCATCAAACTCAAACAAGGGTGACTCGAGCTCGGCTCAACTCATTTAACCTGAACCGTCATGACATTATAAATGTGGTTGGAAATTATGTTCTTAAGGCAACAAAAAATGGTCTAAAAACTTAATTTTAGCAAGAGATGGGCAAATTATTATAACAAAAAATTGAAAAAGAAAAGAGTATTATTCCAGTAACTTAAATGGATGACAGTTCAAGTAGAACGGCTTATGAGAGGATTAGTGATGGGTAAAATAATTAAAATGCTAAAAGAAAAGCTATATTTCATTTCTCAATAACATATGTTCTTAGAGCAATGAATACATATGTTTAAAAATGAGAAAAATCTTATTTTCAAAAGTTGAGCAATAAAATCACAACTAAACTTCTTTCTAATTAGAAGATAAAAAAAATCATTTTGTAAGAATTATAAGCCATAAAACACAAAGCTTCAGAAATTTGTATCAGTACAAGACTTGTCATACATCTTTAATATGATGAAAATAATCCTTGATATGCTTATTCCAAAATTATGGTCAGCATGGCCAGACATGCATCAATATGGACCAAACACTTGAAGCATTTTTCCAATTTAGCAAAATGTCAATTTTGATCGGAAAATCGATGTGTGTCCTAAAGTCAACTTAGTAGAAAATATTTGCTCTACATCAATGCATTAGTATTTCAAGTGTTTATTTTGAAAATGATAGACTCTTTTGAGTTTTCAATAATTAAAATAAACAGTGCAATGTTAAAATCAGGTACAATAATGAATACAAATATTGTTGTGTTGATGAGGATGAAGTACATTAGCTGAAATCTTGAAATATAATTATAAAAATAATCCTTTTTTTATTTGTACCTGATCTTTTCATATGATATGTATTACATTATGCCTACTTGTGAAATACATTTTGATAGAAAATATTATTACTAAGTATTTTGATTGTGTATTTGCATTTATTTGTAAAAAATAGTATCAATGGCCTGTGTTTATATCATGTTGTCTGCAAATCAGAAAATTCAAGGCGACGCTAAGAGAGTTTAATCATGCAACATAATCAAATAGTTATGAAACTCTCTCTCTCTCTCTCTCTCTCTGTGTATATATATATATATATATAAGAAAAAAAAAAGGTCAAAAATGGCCAACTATCTTATGTTAACAGTTTAGCTCTCAGCTATAAAATAATCACAAATAAACCAACAAGGACTAAATTGAGATCAATTATATAGAAT